TTCGAATTTGTTGTAATCGAACAAAGTTATAATGAATTCCACAGCAGCGACTTTTGAACCAAACATCCACGACTTGAAGCTAGAAGATGAAATAAAAATTTGATCCTTGTCGTATTCTGAAGTGTGATTATTTTTCCTTTAAGGTAGACGCATATGTTCATAGTTTATGTTGTAAGCTGAATATCTGAGATACCATTTTATCAGTCATTGCCTTCCATAAACACACATTCGACATTTGCCTGTCGCATATTGACGGGTTTAAGCTTCTTTTGCTTCTGGCAGGTCCACTATTAAGTTCAGGCACATGCAGTGAAGTCTTCCAGTTTGAAGTCTCACCATCTTCCATCAATCCAAGCAGCATTATTCCAGCAACATCGGTAGTCAACTCTACTGATAAGCTTCCTCTGGGCAAAATTAAGAATAGAAGGATTATGTACAGTCGGCCAATTCCCCTGAACGGATCCGCTCTTAATACAACAGAGAGCAACAACACCGTTCATGGTAGTAAAAACACTATACCTTCCTCCTCCTCCATGGTTGTCTCAGTTTTGGCTGACCCGAGAGAGGCTGGCGACGGAGATAGCGATGGGGTGATAAGGCCAAAATCGATATCAAGAATCTTTGTGGTGGTTCTTTTGGACAGTGTCAAGTATGTTACTTATTCCTGCATGCTCCCGCTGAAAAACCATGGTCCTCACCTTGTAAATTGACTTTGGACTGCAGGAAGTATCCATACGTTATACAGAAATTTTGACCTTGTATCTGAATTTGGCTGCTCTGTTACATGGTTGGGGTTGCATTGATTTGGTTCATCCCCTGAAGAAGCCTAGGGAAAAAAAAAAAACTGACCTGCTGTCAGCGCAATTTCCTTGGGTTATCTCAACTTGGGAAATAATATCTGCCTAGAGATTTCTGGCCTTTTTATTGAATAATAGCATGCTATATATGCTTCTTTTATATATTGAGCCTCTTGGAATTTTGATTTCCTTCCTGTTAAAACTTGCTACTTTACGAGGAAACGTAGGCGTCTTATCTTAAAAGTAAACAAAATAATTCAAATAAGCTAGAGATTGTTTGAACAAGTTTTAGGGCTTGTTTGGATTGAGGGGAATGAGAGTGAAGGGAAGTTAGGGGAACCATTCACCTCCATTCATCTTGTTTGGGAACACTTAGGAGATAAAGTTAATTCACCCTAGTTTCCCTTGGTTCACCCCCTAATAGTATAAAATTTGTTACCCTCCAAATTGGGGTGTAACCAAGGGGAAGGGAACTCCCTTCCCTTTCCTTCTCTTAGGCTATGTTTGGTTTGAGAGAAAGGGAGAGAAAAGAAAAGGAAAGAGAAAGTAAAAAGAAAGGAAAAGAAAAGGAAAAGAAACTAATATTCTTTTTATTGTTTGGTTAGAAAGAATATTGTAAGGAAAGTTAGAACAAAATTCATAAGAAAGTCATTTCTCTTGTTTGGTTACCTTTCTGAGTAAAAAGAGGAAGAAAATTATTAGAACATAATTTTAATTCATACTTTTTGGAATTAGATTTAGATTTTAAATAATTTACAAAAAATATTTAAATTAAATTGTGATTCTATCATATTTTCAAAAAAATTTACAAGTTACCGAACACGTTTGCACAATCTTAACTCAAGAAAATTTAGTCAAATTTACGATGACCCTAATTTGCGTATAATCTTTTACATGGTTTTAGACTTGCAAGTTTTTCATAACCTCAGGTGAAGAAAGATGATTCTGAATAAGCTTTAGACAATTATGCATCTCAAGCATAATTATTCAAAATTAGTATCATTCATATATTGGGAAATAATAGGTTAATAAACATGTATTTTAAAAAAATTGGCAATTTCATAATACAAAAAAATGAGTGGTCATCAACATCGAATTTGTAAATATTAACAAGTAGAAGCACAACCACAATTCCACTAATTAAATAACAACATTTCTCACACATAATATTTGTAAAAAGAAAGGTCAAGGAAAAAACCAAAACAAATATAAAGTAAATGTCATGGTATTCCCAATATAAAGTATAATCCATTTCTAGTCACAAAGTCTATTACAATCAATTTCATATAGAAGATCTTAACCAACAAAGTCTATTACAATCAATGCCATGAACAAAATACATCGAACGAACAGTTGATATATACCAATTCCAATCGTGTGCTTGACATGGAAACTCAAAACTGGCCCGTTCGTAGCTTCGCACCTGCACAACACTAAGATAATCAATCATTAGTACACAATCTTATGCCCAAAGTGAATATCATAAACTAAGATCTCGGCACTAAGTAAAGAATAATCACAGTTGACAGTGGGTTAACCTTTCCAGGATTCTCATCGCTAGGAAGTAAGAGATAACGGAGGTTATTTGACAATGTACTAGTGGGGATTTACGCAAGAAATTTTCCATATATCTAAAACTTCTGAGTGTTTTCTCAGTGGTGATTTGTAGGATTCCAACTAACACACTTTGCATCCTTGACGGTATAATTTGTTAAACTTCGTGTTTTGGTTGGTTAGGGATCATCCACGCAAAAGCAACCATCCTTCCTTCGCCAACGGAGATAGGTGACCGCTGACGTGCTATCGTTCCTAGGGACACGTGAGCTAAGGGAAAACGTCACCTAGTGATCGGGCACAAACAAGATGCTACCCTACTAAGCCTGCCATTTGATAACAGGGCCAGAGCACTGATGGAAACAGAAAGCATTGCCCTTAAGTGGGATTATGGAATGATTAGGAATCTCTTTTCCTCTTTAATCATGAGTAATGGCAACCGAATGCATATGCACTTGTTTTTGTTAAGGATTACAGTAGGACCATCCATACAGGTCAGGTCCAGGTTGGGGAATAACATCCTTATGGACATTTATTATATGCATACTTATAGGTTTAAAAAGATACTAAATGAGGACGCAAACACTTGCTGCAAATGCAATGATGGGAAAGTTTGACAACACCGACAAAAGAGAATGTGACAGATTATGGTGTCAATGTTTGTTGTATGTGTGGAGCACAAATGTCTTTTATGTACATATTCCTGTATATGTGTTTCAGAGGATTGGTTAACATAAATCAATTTTATGTACAATGCATAAAACATAGTGACATATTCAGTTTGTGCATAAAACATAGTGAGATTTTCAGTTTGTGTACATTGTGTGTGTGGAGGTCCTGTTGCATGTTGTATCAATTCGTGCATGTTTTCAGAAAGATGAATCATGGTACCATTTTCAACAATATAACAGTAACATGTTTCCAGTACATATAAGCAGAGATCAAGTGTTGGCTGATGGCAAACTTGTACAGTAATTACAACATTTGAATAAATGTTTTCAAATGAATACTATCTTTCACTGACAATAAAGAGAATTTAGCTAAGTCAACTTGATTGAAAGCTCCTCAAATGAATACTATCTTTCATTTAGCTAAGTCAAATGAATACTATCTTTCATTTGAATAAAGAGAATTTAGCTAAGTCAAATGACAATAAAGAGAATTTAGCTAAGTCAAATGAATACTATCTTTCATTTGAATAATTTCTGACATATATTTTCAAACATTTTAATCTAACAACTGTATCAAAATATTTTTTTTAAAGGATTAGACCTTGAAGGATATAAATATTTTTTGGTCTGATCTTTTGTTGTTTTTTTTCCCTAAGTCAACTTTCATCCCTGAACTACAAGCAATTACTGGCTCTGATAATATGTCCCACAGTTGCAACCCCCAAAGACCGAAGAACATCACAATGAAACATTTGCATTTTCATAGTTTTAAGCAGAAAATGGAACAGTTTTTTTCTTCTGGTCACCTTATCTTTTACGGATGCATTTCTTGCAAAACTAATTGCAAGAAACTAAGAGGCTTGCAATTATTCAACACTCATAAAAGATCAAAGAGCATCATGAGTAAACATTCGCTTTTTTCTGGCCATTTCAAATTAGGATCGAAGAAGAGCATGAGTAAACATTTGCAAACTCATTGCTTTTCCCAGAAATGAACAAAATCTAGCATTTTTCCTTCTTCTCATTGTCCAGCCCTTTACCGATTCATTTATCATAAAATTAGTTGCAATGGAGATGATAGTATCAAAAACCTAGTTCAATTCATCCTTCAACAGTATACAGATCCAATGCAAACACTAAAAACAAGCTAATTAGAAGATAATCACAGTGCTTTTTCGCAGTGCTTACATACCAGAAAACTCGAATCTGCACCAAATTAGAGATCAACAACCGCTGATCTCAGAAGAGGGTAATGGTGACCAGTCAGGACCCAATTTGCCCTGGATTGGGGCATTGACTGGGCTTAGATCTTGCAGCTGAGGTCGAATTTGGGGGAAATGAGAGAGAAACCCTAGAATTGGAGAGCTGAGGTCGAACTAGGGAATTTTCAAGAGAGAGAGGTGAGAGATCGGGGAAAATTGGAGGCGTGAGCGATCGATTCCGTCTCTCTCCCTCGTTTTCACCTGGGCAGCGAAGAGAAAAGAGAAAAGAAAAAATACGTATGGGTTTTTCTGCGGTGAAAATGATTTTCTTTTTCTTTTTTGTTTTCTTTCAAACCAAACAGTAGAAACTTACTTTTTCTTCTATTTTACTTTCCTTTCTCCCCCTTTCTATCAAACCAAACAGAGCCTTAGTTTCCCTTAACTTCCCTTCACCCACTACAAATCCAAACAGGCCCTTAAAGTGTTAATCGTACGAAGCTCGAGAGGAAATCATCAATAAAAATAGCACATCACAGTATTAGGAATCCCGGCCGGAAAGTTGCCGAGACGTGGACGTTTCCGAAACAGGAAAGTTTCGAATTAGGGAATCGGAGCACGCATAAAATTAGTATTAATCGAACACATAGTTACCTAAAGAGATGGAAAATACTATTCCATATTTGACATCTAATTAGTATCGATTAAGCGTGGTTATTTTAAAAAGGAAACCCTAAATAGGAAAGGATTTGCTGATAAAGTTCCCAAATCTATCGACAGCAAATTAGATTCCTTGACCGACTAGGATTCCTCTCGGCTCTACCCTATATAAAGCCTAGCGCTTCCATTCAAAAAAAATAAAAAAAAATCCCACGATTTGTTATTATTAACAGAAGAAGCTGAAAGATCTAATTTTTGCGTGGGCTTTGAGAATCATCAAGCTTCAGTCTCCAGGTACGTACCAGGTTTATTTACACGATCTCCTCCAATTAATTTCTCTTCATCAAATCATAAGTTATTATTATTGAAGCAATTTCAAGCAGCCTGGCTCAACTTAGAGAAATAATACAAATATAATAATAACAAATCATACAATAATAATAACAGTAATTGCAAAGGGACCCTTTCAATATCCAAAGAAATAAGAAGTTTGTTTCAATCTTAGTCTTCGATCCTTCTTCATAAATTTATGGTTAATTTGATGAACCGGTGTTGACTATAAGCAGATTGGGTACAGAATTTAGAGGATCTCAGATCCTAACCGTTTTCTGTTTTTTTTTAAGTTGATTTTTGTTGTTCTTTGAACAAACGATCAAATCGTGAGTGTATGCTATTAATAATTGAAATCTAATCTACTTATTTCTGTACAGTTTGAAAAAAAATGAGCTCTGAAATTGCGTTGAAGGACAATGCGAGATTGCGAAGGGCTGCATTCAGAAAGAGAGAAAGAACTCTTAAGAAGAACGCACGAGAACTGTCTGCTTTATGCGGCACCCCCACGCTGCTGATATTGTTCGGGCCCGAGGAAGAAATCATTACATGGCCTGAAAAACTGGGCGAAACCAAAGATATAATCAAGAAATACCAGGAACTTAGTCGACATGCGAGTAACAAGCATAACTTCACGTTATCCGACTACCTTCAGCGACGAAAGATGAAGGATCACGAAAGAACAACTACAAGGGTCGATGATATTACCTCGTCTGAAGAAGCGAAGGAGGCGATAAGATCAATTGATTCCACATTGAAGGAAGTCGAAAAGAGGATGGATTTCTTATCTCTCGATAAAAATTTGGAAAATGTCGCGATTGAAGAAGAGGAAATAGAGCCAAATTTTGAATTTGGTTCGGTACTAACTCATAATAGTGATGAGGATGGAGATGATACTATGGAGGAGTTTGCTTCAACTTCGACCGGAGAGAATAGGAAACAAGTTACTTCAACTTCTGCGGAAGAAAATATGAAGAAAATTACTTCAAGAGAAGAGAAAGGGATGGAAATTACTTCGACTTCGACGAAAGAGAGAATGCAGACTGTTAGACTGTTTGGAAAGGAAATAACAGTGAATAGCAAAATTTGAACTTTTTTCTTTCTTTTTTCCCTTTTTTTTTGCATTGACAAGGAGGGCCAAAAATTTTGTAACCAAGTAGATGTATCATTCATAAAGTCAAATTATTTTTTCTGCTAAATTTTGGTGCTTGTTATGTACACATGTAAGTTTAGAAGGTAATATACTGAGCTAGCTTTAAGGTTTATTTATAGAGTAGTTGCAAGTAGACTACATACTGTTGGGGATTTCAGTCTCCCCGCATATACTGCGATCTGCGCAACTCGGAAACTAACCCACAATCAATAAGATATAAAATAACCACAATCAAGAAGAAAGAACACCGAGATTTACGTGGTTCGGTCGACCAACTTCGACCTACGTTCACATACAACAATACGAGAAATTCACTATGTATCAGGGAGAACTACAAGAGAAACCACTCAATTCTCGTCTCTTAATCTCTTAACCTCACATACTTAATCAACTCACATATTATCTCCAAAGCCCTCTCCTTATAATCTTATGAACAGACAAAGACTGCAAAACCCTCTCGCAATGATGTAATCTTTTGCACGGATAAAAACCACGAAACACTCGCCTCTCGCATAATATTCCTGAATCAGGCTATGCCCTCTGCTAACCCTAGATTACAAGAATATTGGCTCTCTCCTCTGCTTAGTTTTTCCTCCAACAATAGAAGCGTATATATATAGGGAAACCAAAACCCTATCTCTAGCCTAACTTCCTAATTAGAATAGGATTCAAACTAACTCAATCTCCTAATTATGATAGATTTCTAACCCTATCTAATTCTCATGAAGTTATACGAAGAATTAAAGACACAATCCCAACAATCTTCACATTAGATTTGATTCCCAAACTCCCTTGAAGATATATCATCGCTGTCTTGAAACTTTGCCTCTCCCGCTAAGAGTCTTCTATTTCTTTCGCACTTCAAATCGAAGTACCTGCACTCTAACTGGATGCCCCTACGAACCTCACTTTCATCTGTCTCGCTGTGGCGCCTCTACCTCTCTTGTACGCACTAAGAGATCTTCGGCACCTCTGACATTAGAAGCAAATCAACAATGCTTCTCCTCCCAAACTGAACTTGACAGTAGCCTTCCCCAACTTGTTGTCCTCGTTCTCCACCTGCATCGCTCTTCTCGAATCATATCGGTGCACCTCTCCTACTCCACACTACGAGTCGGATGCCTCTATCTCCCTCATCACTTGGTTTGAACCGAAAATGAGCGCTCATCGTATTCAAGTCCAATGCCACTATCTCCACCAGCATGTGTGTCACTCAATCGTGTCCACTTGTAAGCTCCACCTAATTTGGCACTGTCCTCCTCGAGTCTACACACCAACCAACTATTGCTTCTGCGATAACTTTGAATAATTATATGCTGACAACGCTACTGCTAGAATCATGTCTGATTCTCTACATCAGTCTCATCGGTCGCATACTCATTTACCCTATCTGCCATAAGATTTATCTTGTCGTTGAATAGCGAAATATCAAACTTCAGACTCGAAGAAGTCGTCATCATCTAACCACAATCAAAATTCAAATCAGTCACCATATAGATTGAATTTGATAAAACCGACGTCAAATAGGAACTCAACATGTTAAAAAATCCTAGGAACGACTCTTGGATCAAAATTCCAATCAGTCACATTAGTTGTTAGTAGAGGCTCCGCAGTAAATTTATACTTCCATTCAGATATTAGAGTTTTGTATCTTATTTTGTAAATGACTATGAGCCTTAGTTACATTTCAGTTGATTCATGTCGAGATATTCTACATCATTTCAGTGATCAGATGGATTACGGTTTTATTCATTTGAGACATGGTTCCTTTTATGAGATTTGTCTTTATACATCATGTCTATTGTATTTACTTTCCTATTTTCGCCTGTTTGTACCTACACTTCTTTTGATTCCACTAGAGGATATATTACTGTGATTGGTAAAACATGTTATTGCACAGTGTGGGGGTATGACAGGTTTGACATCTCTGGGTTCACCTTGGACTGCAACCATGTGTGAAAACATGGGCGTCACAGAGAACTGCAAGAGGAACCACTCAACTCTCGTCTCTCAATCTCTCAACCTCACATACATAATCAACTCTCATATTATCTCTAAAACCCTCTCCTTACAATCTTTTGAGCGGACAAAGACGACGAAACCCTCTCCCAATGATGTAATCTTTTGCATAGATAAAGACTATGAGACCCTAACCTAATGGCGTAATCTTTTGCACAGATAAAAACTACGAAACCCTTGCACAATATTCCTGAATCAGGCTATACCCTCTGCTAACCCTAGATTACAAGAGTATTGGCTCTCTTTCCTCTGCTTGTTTTTTTCTCCAACAATAGAAGAATATATATAGGGAAACCAAAACCATATCTCTAGCCTAACTTACTAATTAGAATAGGATTCAAATTCTTAATCATGATGAAACTCAATCTCCTAATCATGATAAATCTCTAACCTTATCTAATTCTCATGAAGTTATACAAAGAATCAAAGACACAATACCAACATGTCCATGAGCTATACACCTCATGAATAGATGGAGTTTGTTCTTGAGAATTGCAATGACAAATTATGAACTCCTATAGATTCCGTATTTGCTTTATGTTACAAGAGTAACATCACTTTGGTAAATGAAAAAAAAGTAATAGATGGGTTTAATTTGGGAGACTGAGTCTTTGGAACTATATGAGTCGCGCAACTGTGTTTGATTAGTGGCGACATTGTGTTTGAAGGGTTTGGTGGCATCATAAACTGGCTGATCCCATGTTTAACACAAAGACTCAGTGAAGGTATTTCCCAATAAGGTGATATAATATAATGAAAAATCTGGTTTGGGTCGAGGTATAACACACGATTTTTAGTTATTTTTGGACATTTCAACCTATTAGCAATTAATTTCGTGGAGGCCAAAATTTGCTCTTCATGAGCAATTACCGCTAAAGTTGGCTATTTTTAGCAATTTCGACCCATGGCCGAATAATTTAATGAAAGGCAAAATACATAATTCCATGATATATAACCCACTATTTTTAGCCGCTTTTAGTTATTTCGACCGTTGTCAAAAAATTACCGGTGGCCAAAATATACGACTTCGTGAGCTATAACCCACGATTTTTTGCTATTTTTAATCATTTCGACCCGTTGTTAAATAATTCCACATGGCTAAAATTCACGATTTTAAGAGCTATAACCCATAATTTTCGGCATTCTTTAGTCATTTTGACTAGTTGGCAGTTAATTTTGTGGAGGTCGAATTTCACGATTTCGCGAGCTATTTCAAGCAATTTTTAGTCATTTCGACCCACAAGCAAATATTTTTGAGGTGTGTAAAACTCAAGAATCAGTGAGCAATAACCCAAGATTTTTTGGGTTGACAGTTAGTTTAAATTAGTGAGCAATAACCCAAGATTTTTAGGGTTGACAGTTAATTTAAATTAGTGAGCAATTGGGGGTTGATGGTTAATTTTGTTGAGGCCAAAATTCATGATTTTATGACCTATTATTTGGACTTTTTGACCCGTTGTCAAATAATCTAATGCAAGGAAAAATACATGTTTTCGTGAGCTATAACCAATAACCTTTTGCCATTTTTATTCGTTTCTACCTATAATCAAATAATTTTACAGTTGCTAAAATACACGATTTTGTGAGTTATAACCCACGATATTTGGCCATTTTCAGTCATTTTGACTTGTTGGAAATTAATTTCATGATGGCCAAAGTTAACAATTTTATGAGCTATCGCCCCTAATTTTTTGGCTTTTTTCGTTGTTCCAACCCGTTGTCAAATAATTTCATGTAGGCCAAAATTCATGATTTTGTAAACTGTAACTTACTTTTTTATGCCATTTTTATTATATTTCAACCCAGGGTTAGATAATTTCACCAAGGATAGAAATATTTCATGAGCTAAAACTGATGGTATTTGGGCATTTCTAGTCATTTCAGCCGGTTGTCAAATAATTTTGCGAAGGCCAAATTAAGTAATTCATGATTTAATGAGCGATAACTCACTTGGCCATTTATCAAGTAATTTATGATTTTATGACTTATAACTCATTAGTTTTTGACTATTTCTACCTGTTTCATTCATTTTGTGGAGGTTGAAATTTAGTATTTTATGAGCTACAATCCATGATTTTTTGCCATTCGAAATCATTTCATCCAATTAGCAAATAATTTAGAGGAGACCAAAATTTATGACTTTACGAACTATAACTCACGATTTTTGGCCATTTTTAATCATTTTGACCCACTGGCAAATAACTTTTAAGTGGCCAAATTTCACGATTCCATGAGCAGTAACCCATGATTTTTATCCATTTTTATTACTTTGACCCATTGGCAAATCATTTTCAAAAGTGAAAAATCACGATTCTGTAAGCTACAACCCACCATTTTTGGCCATTTTGGCCATTTCAACCCATTAGCAAGTAATTTTGAGAGGGCTAAAATTCTTGATTTCTTGAGCTATAATTAGGCCATTTTAGTTGTTTCAATAAATTGGTAAATAATTTCATGGTAACCAAAATGTATGATTTTGTGAGCTATAACTCACGATTGTTTGCTATATTTTGTCTTTTAAAATAATTTTTCAGGGGCCAAAATTTACTATTTCGTGGGCTATATAACCCATGATTTTTGGCTATTTGTAGCCATTTTGACCTGTTGGTAAATATTGAGATGGTCACAATTCACAATTTCATGAGTTAAAACCTACGATTTTTATGCCATTTTTGGTAAAAGCTTATGTCAACTTAAGTGGATAGGAATAAGTCATCCACCAACTTTTTTAACCGTTGATATTGCATTGGGATCCGTGATAGATATGAAGAATCTTTTAAGATTTGTGCATCTTTTGATGGCACAAATCTTATCCGTGATAGATATGAAGAATCTTTTAAGATTTGTGCATCTTTTGATGGCACAAATCTTGAGACAAGATAAGTGGATAAAAAGTTTGGTGGACAAGGCCTCCTATCCACTTAAGTGGATAGAAGTTTTACTCGCTATTTTTTATTATTTTGACCCATTAGCAAATAATTTTGCGAAAGCCAAAATTCACGATATTGTTAGCTTTGTCCTATGATTATCGAC